TATATATAATATTTGTGGGGCAGTTGTCTCTACTAATTTTTCAGATTTTCTTTTTAATATATATGATATTATATTATTTTTATTTAAAATTTAAAAATAAAAAATAAAAATAAAAAATAAAAAAAAATCTAAAAAGTTATAAAATTATAGTTGAATTTGAGTTTGTTACAATTATCTTTGTGTGAGAAGAAATATTTTAAAAAATATATTTTAATATGTTATAAAAATTAACAACAAATTATATGTTTCAAAAGAAAAAAAAAAAGTTGTTATGCATTTAAATTGTAAATCAAGATAAAAAAATTATAAATTAATCATATATGTATTTTAAGTAAAAAAAATCATACGTTATTATTAACCTCATTTTGGATATTTTATATCTTTATTTTATTTTATTTTTACTTTTTTAAATTCTATTCATATTTTGAGATTCTCCTCTACCTCTAACATATTAAAATTGGAAGAAAAAAAAATTCTTTCATCTCTACTCCTTCATATTTCAATAGTTAAACTATACATTTAAAGTGATCTTTGAGGTTAGTGTATTTAAAATTATTATTTTTATATTACTTTATTTGAATTATTTTTTTATTTTCAATGAGAAATTTAGTATTTTAATTTTTATTTACTCATTCTATTTTTATGTTTAGAAGAAACATTGTATGTTATTAACATTACATTAATTAAAATTATATTTTCATTAAAAAAACATTAAAAAAATATTACATTAATTAAAATTATATTTTCAAGTTGAATTATTTTCTGCATTTGACAAGGAGAAATTGATTCGTTTTGCTCAATTTTATTCTTCTGAATTTTCTTCAGTTGAACTTTTGGCATTAGATAATCAACTTGAAAATTATTTCATAGATATATGTTTTGACAATGCTTTTTCAAAATTAGAAGGGATTTGTGATCTTTCTATGAAGCTTGTGGAGACAAGAAAACATGTTGTATATCCATTAGTGTATTTGCTTTTAGAGCTAGCCTTGATACTATCAATGGCAATTGCATCAGTTGAAAAAACTTTTTCTACTATGAATATCATCAAGAATCGGATGCGAAATCATATGAGAGATGAATGGTTAAATGATTGTTTAGTTACTTATATATAGAGAGAGGTTTTTGATAGTATTGAAAATGAGCAAATCATTCAATGTTTTCAAACTATGAAAACTCGTAAAGAACAATTATGATATGTATTTGTTTTTATAGAAACTTTATTTTATATTTTGACAAATTTATGTCTTTAAATATTTGTAAAAGTTAAATTATACATTTATTAGTGTAGTAATCAATTTAATGAGAGAAAAATATATTTAAAATTTTAAAATAATTATGTTTATTCTTTTATATTCCATATGGATATGATATAATAAATAAATGATGAACATATTTATAAAACAAGAAAATTTCATAAATATTTGGCACAATCCTTATATATTAAAATAATAATATAAACTAATATATTAAATTAATTATTAATTAAAATCTAAATATAAAACTTAAATACAATTGATAAAAAAAACTATTAAATCATAAAATTATATCACGGAAATAAATATTATTTAATATATAAATTAGTGAGATTATTTATAAGCTCTTATGTTTTTCCTATGTGTCTGTCAACCACACTCCACACTCCACACTCCAAAACTCGTGAAGAAAAAAAATTGTTTGTTCTCGGTGAACTGTTGGATCTAATAATTCATGCCATCTCAACTCATTTGATTCCAAATTAGATTACATATTTACTCTCATTGCCTTTACTATTCAAGCTTCATACTAGTTTTACGAAGTGTGATGAGAAGTTTGGTTTATAGAGAGCCACCATATTATAACTAGGAATTTTATAACAAGTAAAGTAATTAAAAATTAAGCAAGTGAATGATGGTGTTGAAACAACATATTTGATGTGATGAAGTGAATTCAAATAACTTAAAAAACATGTCTTAGGACAAGGTTGAGGGGTTTGATGCAGTTGAAGGTAATTGATAGTTGAACTAGAGATCTGATTAGTTATTAAGATAGGTGATAATGAATCAAACGTCCTAAATGAGAGTAGGAGGATCCAGGTTCCAACAAGGTGTTCCTGCTCTTTTCACTAATTTCCTTCAATCTATTCCTTGTATCTTCATCCATGCTCAACACACTCCTTATTCCTTTTGCTATTTGCTCTGCACTCAAAAGAGTGTTAGGTCCAACCCTGTAATCCAACGCAACCTCCGCAGCGATCTTCAGCTCACGTGGCAATGGGCACACCAAAATATATGCTCTCGAGGGTAGAATTCCAGCCGCAGTGCGAAACAAAGGCTCCCGTGGCTGGGTGGGCCAATATTTGGGCCTGAGGAGCCCATCCGATAACCTTTCCAATCCCTGCCGTCCCAATCCGATCCAAGAAGCCCGGTGGTAAAACTGCAGCCATGTCCCAGAAGGCGAGGTCATGAAATTGGAACCTTTGGGTTGGGGTTTCCGCAGGGACCATAGGAAGCGGGCCCCACTCTCCTCAAGAGCACGTGCAACCTCTCTCACTTGATCCTCACCCAAAGAACCCATGCTCCCGAAGCACAGGAATACTACGGAGGAAGGAGGTTGATGATAAAGCCAGTTGAAGACATCACTGTTATGAGCCTCTGCATGAGGCTTGGGGTTTATTATGTTATGGGCCCCACTGGATAAATGCGTAGAGCCTGGTTGGCGTTGGCGACGTGAGATTCCAGCTCCTCGAATGAATTTACTATAATGCCATCGGCGTCCTTGAGGCCTCTCCCGAGGGCCATGAATAAGGGGTCCCACTCCTTGTCGACCAACAGTGAAGGCAAAGCCGTTGAAGGAACCGGGTTGGCGAAACTGGGGGTGGCCAACTCAGTGTGGGAGTCTCTGAACTCGCCCTTGTCTTGTTCTCGAAGCGTGTGAAGATGAAGCATCAAACCAAGGAAGGCAAGACCTGAGGTGAAGAAGCCGAGTGAAGGGACCCCAAACTCTTTGGCGATATCAATCATGCTTACGCAGAAGGTGTCCACAATGAAGGCGGCGAGTGGGGGCGCAGAGGTGAGGTTGGAGAGTGCTTCTTTCACGTGTGCTTTCTGTTGTTCCACAAGAGTTAACACTGCGGTTGGGGTTGGGGTTGGGGTTGATTGACTTGGTTCAGTGTTGGAGGAAAGGGAGTGGGTGTAAGCAGCACTTGTGGTGTCAGATGGTACCTTCATTACCAACACAGTTATCCAGATACGATCGTCGCGGTTGATCAGAACCTTGGCAAACTCCATGCTAGACACCAGATGACCAACTCCAGGAGAAGGGATGAACACCACTCTTGCTGCTTTCTTCATCTTGCTCACTGCTGATTGCAAGTCTACATCTATTCAACACTTCACACTCTTTTGCAAGTCTAGATATCTACGCTGATCGGAAGGATCCCGGGATTTATTTTCAGAGCAACTTGTGGACATCATTTTGTGACGTAGTATCATGCACATTGGAATATGTGAACATTGGCCTTGTGCTGACCTTTCCCTTCCCTTATCCAGAATGTGCCAGTGTCGAGGAGGGATCGCAAATATATCCGTGCTCACCGATAATAATCGAAACCCGAAATACATGATTTTGACGTGAAATAACTGGTTTGACCGGGTACTGATATGAATATGGGTAAAACTCGATATATTAAATCGGGTACGGATATATACTTCCCCGTCCCGTATCCGTACCCGTTCCCGTTCTCATTTTTAATTTAATACTCACTTTTAATTTAATTATATTAAAAAAAATTAATATTTTTTATGTATAATTATTTATTATAATATAAGATAAAGAAATAACTTAATTATAATTATAATATAATAAAAAAATTTAAAAATATCATTTTTTATAAAAAAAAAATAAAAAATAAAAAAATTGACAGGTACGGGTACAGGTATACCCGATACCCGATAGGGACAGAAATGTAGATGAAAATTTATACCCGACAGGTATGGAGACCGGGACGGGAATGAGTTTAACTCACGGGGACGGGTATCATGAAACCCGTACCCGCCCCGCCCGGTTGCCATCCCTAGTGTCGAGTGCTTAGGTAGGGTACCATGTGTCAATGTTCGCAGTTAATTATTTGTACCACGTTTTCTCCATGATTTATAAACGGTTCCACTCTGTTTTTCTGGTAGGGGAATATGTACTCGCCCATGCAGTTATAATCCAATGGTCGAGAAAAAAATAAAATATTTTAAGGGTTGAGATCTTTGAGTTAAAATTTCAACGGTAGAGAATACATATCTGTATTAAAAACAAACAAGCGCAACTAAATTTGTATACTGTTTTTATTATAAAGTTCTTTTTTAGCAGCTACCAACACATTAAATTACTATTTGTCGTAGCTGATGTGTGAATTACAGTACAGTACATGTATTAAAACACTATATTTTTTCTTTCACATAATAAAAACCTTTAAAAAAATGCAAGTAATATGGTTTAAAAACTATTACACAATATAAATATTAGGTAAAACAAAGTCAGACTCCTATGCCAACATCCTACATTCACCGACCTTAATTAAACATTTTTTTTTTTTGAAAATCAAAATATGATAAATTTAACTTATTACAGCTGTACAATTTTTTACCATAAAAAAACAGATCGCATTGATCTAAAACCAAAAGTTGCCACTCTCATTAAAAAATGTTGAAATGCATATGATCAAAATCCATATACTACTAAAAATTTGCAGTCATCATTCAAGAACAAAATCACAAACAAAAAATTAAATTGATTAACACTGCTGTATTTCAATATCAAAGCATTGTACAAAGCAAAAGTATTCCTCAAGCATACGAATTTACCATTAAATAGACAGGTAGATCACTAGGTCATGTATACAAAAACCGGAAACTGCCAATCGTGAGAAATGAAATTCAATCAAGATCGAATCTACCTGTTGACACTTAGCTTATGTCTTTCTTTTTTTATTGTACCCAACAATAATAATACAGAGAACCAAAAAAGATTTAAAAAAAAAATCGAATATTCAACTTCGAAACAATAAAAGCAGGGCATTGACATAAACTATATCGGCAGGAAAAGACCACACTTCGATCAGCCAACATCTGTAACATTGGATCTCATCACTTAGTGGCTTGGGCAATTATGTTACTTAATGAACTGGCTTCCTCCTTAGCAGTCTCCACCAATGAATCCTAAAAGCCAATTTCATATAAAATTGCATCAGAAATAACTTTGAGAAAGAAACTGCCAACCACTACATTACCGAACGAGAAAGAAAATTTTCATACCTGTGCAGCTATTAACCGCGCAACTGTTTTCTTGCTTGACTCCTGAAGCTCACCAGCAATTAGAAGTTCATCTAGTATAAAATAGGCCTTCCATGATACAAAAATAAAGTACGGATATCAGAAGAGACATTACTTGACTCCAAGAAAAAGAACCAGCTGATATTAATCAATTATTGAAGCCCATTCAAGGTGGAACCAGCCAGGGAAAACCACTTGTAATAGCAACAGGTTAAAAGCAAAAGAACTAGCCCTTATTTCAACTTTTGAGCATAAATCATGATACACATACACACCTTGTGAAAGTTGAATATCAAGTCCAGTTCACAGACCTGCACATTGTGAAGTGACCATTAAATCATTAATCCTTATATCCTTCCCAAAAAGAAGGGGACTATTTTTCATTAGTAAATCAAGGAGTACTCTTTTAAAGCCAAAGCTTTGTAAAGAACTCACACTGCCAAAATACCGATCAAGAATCTCTACAAAATAATGAATTATTTCAAGGACTTCTAATTCGTTGTCATCCTCATCAATACACATGCAGAAATAAAGACTAGCATATCTGCAGCAGATATTCATTAGAAAATAGCCAGACAGATGCGCGCCTCGCAAAGGAGTAGATACTAGATAGCGGTATATGACAAAAGGCCAAGTAATCTTGTTAAAATACCTTTTATAAACAACTTTATGTCCCCGCCATTCTACAAAATTACAGAGCTTGGGAGCACGGGTAAGAACCACACCACTGAGTTCTCGGATAACCTTGTCAATAATATATTACAAGTAAATTCATGTACCAAGGATGATGTAGGTGAGATGAAATGAGTTGAGAATGCAATAATCATAACAAGACCATCACATACATGCAAGACATAGATTACATAGCAAATAAAAAGACACATGAGAAGTACAAGCAGTCAATAAAGAAAATAACAAATACAGAAGGAAAGGGGAGCCAGGATAATTATGATGAGCTAAATAAGTAATAGGATGTTAAAATACCTTATTTCTTTCCTTTTGAGAGTAAGGAGAATACCATTTTGTGAGCCTGACCTTCCCTTGACGACTAATGAGTAGCACAAAGTTTATCTACATTTAAGAAAAAAGGGATAAAGCATGTTGAAATTGGGGAAATACATAAAGGAAGAATGTTCACGGTACTAGAATAAAAGAGGCGGTTGCAACTGCAAGGCGTAGATAATAAAAACATGGATGATAAGACAAGTAAAATCAAGTATCAGAACATCCTAATCGCAATGGGGAAAGAAATCCTATAATTTAATACATGAAAGAACGTTTCCGTATATTCACTCATCTAGCACGCACGAAAATATGAAACCGAAGCCATGAATCATCGTCAAGATTCATAGATTTTGCAGCAAGAAAACCTATTCCAACGGACGTTGGGTGATTGAGTTAGCATATTTACATGGACAATTATAATTCTGTCTATGAACCGAATCTACAAAATAGGAACAAGGGATAGAAGCCTAGCATTGAGATTCGAACAACAATATGAACTAAGAGCGGAAATATAGAGCAATTGAATGAACTTGGGAAGAAGCCTTACCATTTCCTTCCCTTGATTCGCGCCCTCCGCTGACTAGATCACAATTCACAGCCCCTTCTCCTTCTCCTTTTGCTTTTTTCATTTCCCAAAATAAATATACTTTTTAAACATACGCTTTACTATTCCTTTCTATTGGATTTTTCTATCTGTACATGCTCAAATCAATACGGGCCAGGGTATGGACTCGGCCCATTACAACTGTAGTCTGCCCATTTCTTTCGATGTCATAATTACACTCAGCTTCAAGATATTTGTAACAAATATTTGCCATGAAAAACATAATTATTTGTTATTTGTTAAATGAGTTTAAGTTCCTAGCTATGATGCATATGGTGCTATCATTGTAATTCCGGACAATTAAAAAAAATTACAGAAATTTATAAAAATTGGTACAGTTGAATTATTTTGCTACTCATTTTATTTTATACTTATACATTATTTTACGTATTGAATTTAAAATAAAAATTATGTAATAAGGACACTAAATAACAACACAAGAATTATTGTTTTTAACAATATTATGTAAATGGAGTTATCATGACCCCGGTAATATATGCAATTAAGATAACGAAGGTTTTAATAACTTTGGTCAAGCTCCAACAGATTTTATTAGACTCTTAAGTAATTTTTTGCGATTTATTATAAACTCTGGTTTACTATTGATTTTATTTGACTTACTTCAATAAAATTTGGATTTCTACCTCTTTTTATTTTTTATTTCTCTCTTTGATTTTTTTTCCCTAACTTTTCAGTCCATAACATACATGTACAGTTTCATTATTCACGCACTACCAGTGACACTTTTTACTCAATAACCTTCACCTAAAATTAATCGCACAAGAGTATCTTTCTTTTCCCAAATTTCATTCTTAATTTCATGTGACTCTACCTTTTATTTTTGTTTCAGAATAGAGAATGTAATAAAGAAACTTAGTCGTTGACCAAGTATGAAGTATTCAAATTGTATAATGTGTCTCCTCTTTGCTCTAACACGAGGGTTTTACACTTAGCTATTATGTATTTGTGGCTTTGAGAATTTCAAGACATGGTAAGAAATATCATGATAATATATATCATATTTTATTATCCAATCATCAATATTAACGATTGAATTTTAGGCTGGATTTAAGGAGTATGTTTAAATGAAACCAATATCTTTTTTAGCACTAATCAACTCAGTTTAACCTTAAGTCGATTTAGGGTCATAGTTCGTCTATTTGGTATGCAAAGTTGTCATGTGATATAGTAATTAAATGTCAAAAAGATACATTCATCTTCTAACTTTGAGCATGAAAAGGATGAAGAGACTGCAAAATGATCTCTCAACTAAATATCGAAAGAGCACACTTTCACTTAACCACCTTGTGCCCCCTCGTGCATCCACATGCACATGTTCCTTAACAACACCACTTATACTGCATATGGTGAAATTGTACTTAAAATGATTTGAGTGTATATATATATATATATATATATA